CTCATCTATTACAGACTCCCAACTCATACGATATTCAGAGCACCAAACTGCCAATGAAAGAGTGGGAGATCCCCTGCGTCATTCACCACCATTAATGCGGCTGTTGGCAATGGTCCAGATCTGCATGATGGCAAAGCCCCTGTAGCCAGACTTCACCACAGAAAAGCCAGGACAGAACATACGGAGGCGCCAGTATGCCAAATCTGAAACACAGTGAAGCAATGAAACAATCTTAAAGCAAAAATCCACCCTTTATAAGACTGTTTTTTTAAATAGCTGCTAGTGATGCTGGTCTGTTTTATTGTGTGATAGTACTTTCTTCATCCTGCAGGCCTAATGCAGATGAGCTGACAGCATGTCAATCAAGATATTGTTCGTGTAATGTCAGTTTGTAGCGGGAAATGTTTCAACTGTCTAAATCATCAACAGGAAGGATCATGTTTTGATGTCAGTTCCTCAAGATCAAAGAGCAAGGTCCTTATTGTAGACCTTATGTAGACATTCATGGAGGAAGAAATCAATTGCACATTATTTCTTTGCACGTTTTTCCACTCAAAGAGCCCTCAGTTGAACGAAGCACCATGTAGATGCAAAACTTGTTGGGTTTTAATTAAGGGGCACAACTTTTCTTTTGCAGCGTACTTTGAATTAAATTGAATTTGGCATATTCTCGAGCTATGTCAACAACTGCAAACTTAGTAAATGCCTGTATTTTCAGATGTGACCTCCTAGAAGCAGGTTCACTGAGTCATCTGCATAGCATTGATGGGTAAAACCCAAAAGCCCCTTAAAACTGTAACGTGGGCTGGTGTTAAGTTAATCACGTAACCTGCTTCATTTAATGATGTCCACACAGGTTGGAAAAGCTTACAAGTTGTGGAAAGAACAAACCATAGATGTACAGCAGTTCCTCAAAGCAATAAGTAAACCTCTTTGTACTAGAACAAATCAAAGTAAACTGAAAATACACAGCTCGAAATGTTCAGCAATTGCAGGTGAGGGTGTGTTAGAGGGTAGTAAAAGAGCATGTGTGAAATATTGACAAGTTCACCTGGCTATAGGCTTTCTACACAGCAACAATCAAAGCACAAGCTCTGTGTTATTTGTTGCAAATCTACCACCTTGCTTGTGGAAATACACCAGAATTTGTTTAGTTTGGAATATACTGCCAGCAATCTTCTTCTTATGGCTGTTGTAGCTTCACAGAATCTTCAGGGCTGTTTCTTGAGGTTTTCACAAAGTATTGTGGGAAATGCATCACTGAATCATGTCGACGTTGTAAAGGCAGGTGGAGGGACAGAGAGTACACCAACAGGTCAATCGCAACGCCTCATTTAAAAAATAACACCTGTATCAAAATGACCTTCTGATGACTGATGTGTACCAGCGCACAAGTATCTGAGGGTGGAATTTTTCTTTAAGGAGCTCACATTTAGCTGTTAGCCCTGGGCTGTGCGTCAGACATAGGTCAGCTCCTTTACCACAAAGTAGCAATGATCTTGACCTCATGTGAAACTAAACTGCATATCTAACTCACTCTCTTCGGCAAAGAACCTGTGATGCAAATTCACAGAGTTTATATATAGCATGTCTTTCATCAGCCTGCTATTCCCCGATGCATTCCCAGTGGCTAAATGGAAAATGTGGACCAGCTCTGTGCTCATTCACACATGTGGACTTATTAGCATTGCCGGTGGCTAGTTTTTCTATTATTCTATTTGCACGTGTCTTTTTACATACCTGAATTACACACATTCTAATTTTGCTAAGTTCACTCTATTAATGAAATGTAGTAGTGTGTAGTTAAATGACCAAAGTTTACTCCCTTTTCTGCCTGTTTCCCACAGCATGTTTCTAAGGATGAAGCCAGTCTCATGGGATAGCCATGTTTTATCTCCATGACAGCTATGTCACTCAGCCCTCTCTGCAGTGACCCCTGCACAGCAAAGGATGCTGGGAAATAACGAGCACTTTTATCCCGGTCAGGATGACAAAGATGGCGAGGATGAAGAGGAGGAAGAGGAGCAGGGAGGAGAAAACAGAAAAGGGGAAGGTGGACGTGACACAGAGAATGGAGGGTTAGAGGGTCTGGAGGAAAAGGAAATGACGGGAGGACGACAATCCTGGGAGGGGAAAGGTGGCGAGGTGGTCAAACCAGCAGCCATTGTGGTCGGCAGACAGAGAGCAGACCGACCGCTGAGGCCGGGTAACCTGGGCAACCGGGGTATTGCATACATGACCAATCAAATCCCGCTACATCATCAACTGGCCAATAAGCAGCAGCATCATCTCATTGCAGCCAATCAGCAGCCTCATCACCCAGGCCTGAATGTGCTGCAGAAGAGACGAGCTCTCATGGAGCGCAGCATGACTACAGTGGCTCCGCTGGAGGACACTTTCATGACCATGATGGTTTTCCGCATTGGAATTCCCGATATCAAACAAACAGTAGGTGCATGTTCTCCTCAAAAATACTGTGGCCAGATACTACGCAAACATTTAATGAAACACAAACACTTACACATCAATCACAGGTTCTTCTTGGCCCCTAATTTGAAACTGATTTGAATGTACAAAAGAAAAAAATTCAACGGTTCATAAAAGTCGAGGAAGGCAGAAAAGTGAGTTCCTCATCTAAAACTACAAAGAATGCACTGTCAAAATCAAACATTTAAAAATCTAGTAATGTGTGTAAAATAGTCTCCCTTGCAAACAGGGCACCGACTGGAGGTCTTTCCAAATGAGGAAGTAGTTCAAGCCAAGTCTCTCTGGTATTACTGCCTCAGAGAGAGATAGCTTCAATCCGACAAACAGAATAAAAAGCTCAGGCTACTTTGCAATGTTAAGGCAGTAATGCATTTGGCTTTTTGTGACCTTTAATGAATCTGATCTGTGTGCAAAATTTTACTTCTGAAGATCATTTTTGTAATGGTGAGGTTCATCATTCATCCTCCATTTGTATTAAATGAATACCTCCCTCAATTATGGTTATTCCAGTACATATCCTGGAGTATAGATTTGTGTCAACAGAGACTAACAGGGTCCTGGTCCCCACTTGGTAGTGAGGCCCCTCAGAAAGCATATCAGGCCAGCACTTTTTTGGTTGCTGTGTTCCTCATCTATTTCTAAGGTTGCTCTAACTTTCCTGATAGAAGCTGAAATGATTCAAAATTGCTTCCCTTTCTAAATGCAGCTGTTTTGCATCCCTAAACTAAAACATTGATTTTGCTGCAGTGTTGACTCTACATCTGTTTCAAATTAGTTGCTGAGAAGAACCCCTGGGTTCTTGATGCATAAATTCTTTACATCCGCCAAATAGTGTGTAACGGCACAACTCTTATTCCAACGCATTTTCACTCCAGTCATCCCACAAGCCCTGGAATGAATCCCAAAAGGATGTAGGACAAAACGCAGAGCTTGACTTGTGTCGAGCAACGTGCGAGGGCAGACATATTCAGTCAACAACACCATGTAAGCATCTGTCTTAGGTCGGGTATCGTCATAATTAGTTTCCAAAACTGAAGTTAGAATCAATTCACACTTCCAGCTGCTCTCAGCAGCACGGTGGCGGCAGGTGAGAATTGGCCAGCCCACACATGACATATCCAGGTGAGAATGGGTGCCCCACTGTAACCCCTCCCCCCATCTTCCTTTCTCCATTTTCAACTCCCTGAACATGCCGATTGTTCTACATGTCAGCTAATCTGCCCTCAATATAACAGTAATTGCTAATTATCTAATAGGTTTTTAATGAGTTTGGGGAGAGCTGGGGAAGAGAGTGATGCTGGAAAGGAAGGAATATGTGGAAGGCATCTGTGTTGCTCTTAGGTCCCAGCCACAAGCATCATATTCAGCTCTGCATACTACTGACAAACACTCCGCACCCCCAAACCTTGCAACTGAAATGTTATTGAGCTGAATTAAAGAGAGATGTAGAGAAGGGGTGAATATTAGGAGCTAGTCAAAGAGAGCGAGGAAGGAAATGAATGCTACGAAGAGAGAGATGGGGAATGAATAAGCAAAGAAGAAGATATATGGATTTACATAAACCATAATACTGCACAGTGAAGGTCTAAATAACTCTCCTGAGTGGGGACAAGTAGTGCCAGAAAGAGCTCAGAAAATTCTTGATTGTATAAAACATAATGCTGGGGAGAGAAGTGTCAGTGTAATATACAGTATCCATTACATTAGACTTCTCTCCCAGGGATTAGCCACTCGATCTCTGTTACACACACACACACACACGCACACACGCACACACACACACACACGCTGTAGAATATACATATATATAAATATATACATATACAAATATATGTACACACACACACACACACCCCTAAATCTTTACTTGTCAATGAATAATATGAATTTGCATTTCCGAGCTGATCAGAATAGAAAACCATAATAACCATTACTATTATTTGTTAATGTTTGGGTATCAAACTGTCATGAAATGTGACCTACAGAAGCTAAATAGTTTAAGTAAAGTAAAAAATAAAGTATAATCTTTCTCCCATTATTTTTTGTGTGTCTGTTCATTTTTATTATTTGTCATGATATGATAATATATCTTTAGTTGTGCTTTGGTACAGCAGGTTATAGATGCTACAAACGGCATCGAAACACAAAACAACAAAAAAGTAAAATAATCCAAAACTAGGAGGGCAGACATGGACCTGGGGTGAATGATATGATTAGTAACTGCATTTAGCTTGGGATTGTAGCTCTATCCTGCCCGCTGGCATATGCCACAATACCAGATGGTGAGCGCTACAGAGCCTGTTTTGACCAGCAGCAGACTGGTTAGAGCCCAAAATACAATTCAGATCCTAAATAACTCTGATGGCCAGAAGAGGGAGGTAGTGATTATGTAATCTTAGCCACATTGTGTAGCTTAATACCTTCATGTGGGAAGGACAGAACTCTTAATCTTCTTTTTTTGTTCTCAGTAACAAAAAAAAACAAACGTAATAATAACAGACAAAGACACTGCATACTAAACACTCGCCATGTTTAATTCCTCACTTCAAGAGTTTTTTCAATTCACACATTCAGCTCAAAGATAAAAAAACAAACTAATTTCTATACAAAGAGGGCATGCTGAGCATCCTGTGCAGTAAGGAATAATGTATGCGACACCCTGAAAGAACAAGGTTTGCTTAAATCATTGTCAAAATATGCTGAATCACTGCAGCTAAGAAACACTTTTGAGCGAGTAAAAACACTACTTCTTTTAAAAAAAAAAAAGTTGAATAATGATAAATCGTTGCTCTTTGTACTTCAAAGAAATTACCTTTGGGCTCAGACAGAACCCAATCGCTCTCATTCGCACACACATAACACACATAAAACACTCACAACAGTACGTAGCCACAGTGGACAGGTGCTTTGCAGCCTGCAGCAGCAGTCCGTTTTATACCAAAATGTGTTTAGGTCTCAGTTGAACCAAGTGGTGTTGAGCTGTGTCTGTTTCTTGATGCTAGTGTCCAACTTGAGGACCTCTCGGATTGCCATGGTAGCGTAGGTTGAGGGAGGCAGGGAGAACTCCATCCGCAGAGCCCGATACTTCCCCTCTGTTGGAAGCGGAGAGAAAGAATGTGTCAGGATGTGTGCAAAGAAGGCTATCAAACAACTCATCTCATACTTGATGTTTATTTTGTTATATATGAGAAACCAAAAGCATTCATACATCTCAACAAGTACATCTTCTCTAATTGGCTACTTTAAGCATATTCATCAAGGTGGGAAGAAGCTGAAGTTTCATCACTTATTTCATCTTTTAAATTATTCTGCATGGGTAACAGCTATTTTAGAATAATCTCCATTTCTCTCTTATAGTAATGTAGCAAAGATGTGTAGGGACAAAATCGGTTAAACATTCAGTTCAAACTGATCTGCTATGTTAGGTAATGCATTATAGTCGGTAAAATACAGACAAAAAAGTTGGTGTTTAATTTTCTTTTGCTCCAGTTTAGTCCAGTGTACCACAACGGACCAAAATAATCCTAAAGGAACTTACCCTTGTTAAAGACAGGAGCCGGTTTGTTCTCCAGCTTCTCAAAATCACTATGCACCAGGGAGATCCTGGGGTCGTCATACTGAATCACCTCCCTGCATAAAAACAAACAGAAATACCACAACACACCAGATTAGAGGTGATTAGAGGAACTGCAGATTACAGAAGAAAAGCAGTCAAATACCTGCAGTGCACAATAACAGCCTCTGTATAACAATATAGTTGGTATACAACACCAAAAAGGCCTTTGTACAACAGTGCCACAGCATGTTAGGAAATAATACACTAGTATTCAATGCTTCTAACCAGCTGACATCACTGGGTCTGATGATGATGCGTCTGTAGGCTCCAGCCAGAGAATAGTCCTTCACTTTGTGTCTCATGTTGTCGATGTCCAACCCATCTGCGGTGAGCAGCTCTCTGTAACCTTTGCCCACTGACAGAAAGACAGAAGTATTACAAGTAATTCATTCAATTTTATCTGTAAAGCACCAAATCCTAACATCAGTCATCTAAGGATACTTGTATAGAGCGGGTCTAGACTGTACTACTTATAATTATATACACAGAACTATTGTATACATTCATTTCCTTTTCTGTTGTATGCTTACATTAATTCTGTTTTATTCCTTTCATTTAGCTTTTTAAATCAGCAGTTTAGTTATATACATTTGTATCCACTTAAGCCGATATAGCTGTGTGTGGTTGGTGCCTGTGTGTTAAGAGGAATGGGTGTTATTTTCACATAAATTAGTGTTAAAACCACCCAATGCTATTTTTCACAGCTATCTAACATGCAAATAAATGAACTTTAAAATCACACAGAGCCATTTCTTACCATGATGAGAGGGGTAGATGACATCAAACCCAGGAAGTGGCATCACAATGTCATGGATGGAGCAATTTTCAGCCTCCTCTGCAGACAGCACGTGTGCTGTGGCTTTATAAACACAGAGACAACTTTAGTATGTGTGTATATATATATATATATATATATATATATATATTTATCTGAGTAGTACTGATAACTTGAAGTAGAATTGCAAAATAATCTACTTTGTTTGAACACCATTCATTTTCACATGTTCAGCGTGTTTGTGTCTGTTTGTTATCTGTTGTTGTTGTGTGTGCTGTGTCACGTGTCTGAATTGAAAGATGTTGTTTCGTAAAGTTACTTTATTGTATCATTTGACACAACCTGTGGTTTACCGCTACTATTTCATGTCCAGACTGGCTGTTGTGAAAATGTCTTCTGTTCTTAAAATGAATTATGGTTTGTTGTCTGCAGGAAGATGAATTAAAATGTGTTTTCTGAAATCTCCATTTTCTGCATTATAATACAAAGCTACAGCTAGCAGGACAGGTGAGGCTTAGCTTAGGGCATAAAGACTGTTAAAAAGGCGTAGGACAGCTGATCTGGCTCAGATAGTAAGGTTAAACAAAATCCACAACCCCAACCATTTTTATCCAGGTTGAAGAAATTGAGAATATGAGCAATTTCCAAAACATTTGTGAACTTTTCCTTAGCCAGGTTTAAAAGGGTAACTACTAACTTCCTGGTTGAGCACCAGTCCCCTCCACCAGCCTTGGAGGCAAGGCTTTTCGATTCTGCGGCTCACCATAGTGTTCCACACCACGCTCGGTGCTGTGGATGTACATCATTTTGACGTTGTTACGAGGGATCTGAAAGAAGAACAAATACCCTCATTAAGGGGAGCACAGAAACCTGCTCTCTAGTCGCTTATATATTTGTGTGTGTTGTATTCCAGGGCTGTACGTTTAACTTTTTAAGCAGAATGTGTTGTGTTTTTTGTAATGCTAGGCACTATAATTGTGATGTAAGGTTGGATGCATACGGCTAGGGTGTACTGGCACTATATGGTCTTTTTCGTGTCTTCTTGATCGTCATCTATTAGAATAATACAATCAGTGTGTTAGCTGATATCGTTCACATGTGCATAATATGTGGAGATCCTAAATGGGGCAAGCCCGTGTATACACGGAGATAGACATAAGCAAAAAGAAGGGATGGGATAGATTCACGATTTGGACCCACTAATGGCAATGATTAACTATATCTAAATTGACCAGTGCGATAATATAAACATGTATTGTTCACATGAGCAGGAAGTGGGATAAATCGATTTTTTTTATTCAATATACGGCTCTTTCTTAGGTAAACCAAGAGCAAAAAATAACGTGTAACAGCGCAGCAATCATGGAAGTAAATGTGACATGTATACTTTCAAAATTGCTTATATTCAATTAGGGAATAATACATCAGTTGAAAACAATTACATATGCAATATTCTATATCTGGGAGAGGGTCTCAAAATTGATAATTATCAGTTGTTAGTACAATGTCACTAAATAGTGTGTGTAGTATGTGTGTGTGTGTCAGCCAGAAGTTGCAAGTCATATCAACCTGGATCGCTCGGTCTCATCTGCGTCTAGTGTAGTTCAACCATAGTTTCTGTCCAGGAGGTAGCACTTCACCATCTGTTACAGGAGTGGAGAGGAACAATGATGCCTGATTTTGTGAACACAGTTCATCCAGCTAGTAGACTCATGTTTTCATTATGTGTTAATATTGTTTCATCACCTAGATATGGAATAAAATGTGTCCTTGTTTTATGTTTCCAACCGTTTCGCACAGTGGCAAACTTTCTCATGACTTGCTTTTTCATTTATAGCATATTGTTCTGGAGTCCAACGCTGTTTCTCCAGGTATTAGCCTCCAGAACCGACAAACAAGCATGCTGGTCGAGGTTTGGTCCTGAAATTATCAGGGACCTTGTTCGCTTTCTCTGCGCTCCTTAATATAGCGCGTCTCGTGTATATCTCTCTCTCGGCTTATTAGGGTACATTTTTATGCATGGTTACTACATCCTGCAGGTTAGTTGTCGGAGCGCTGTTAAGAGTTGGAGAATGGACCTGAGCTCTCGCCCAATAGCCCTCTCTGCTTTAATGTGTGTCCATCGGAGAATCACGAAGGATGATAGTGTTGTTTATGTGTGCTACACTATTAAATTGTCAGCAAAACGGTAGTCGGAATGAACTTCTGTGTGTGTCTTTTATATTGGCGTGTCAAGTGCGTCACTTTTGTGAACTAGTTATATGAGACTCATGCAGTCTGAGTGTAGCGGGGTTGTGGATATAAATGTTATGGCTATAGCAGCATACGTATCTGTTCACCAGATAGTACATCACCAATCTCCATGTGTGGTGGATGTCTCGAGAGAATCTCGGCGTATCATATAATTTAGAGCTTATAGATCTGAAAGGTTTGGTTTAGCTGTATCTATTACCAGGTATAGGCCTAAATAATAGGACTTATATTTATATGTTGTGTGTATATTGCGTATTTGTGTTTTTATTTCCCGACAAGCGTACCTATATCCTAAAGCGGGCAATACTACTGTGTATTTTACCAATTTCCATTTAGGCATCCTAATTTAATCTACATTGTAATTTATAATACTTTTTATATATCCTCATAATGAGGTTTATTCTTTGGTTTTATTTGTCATCACATCGATTTAGACTTAGCTTGCCATGCAATATTTTTTATTGTGTTATGTGTTTTTGCACACCAGGAGCATTGTTTCTGGTAAACTTCCTGTATGAAACTGTATTCTTTACTTGCTGTTCTGTGAGGGAGTTCTTTTAGCTGTTAAAAACTTTGGCTATTGATCTTTC